AAAAAAAAAAAAAGGAGGGGGCCCTTAGGATGTAGTTCAGTTAGAATACTTGTCAAGAATGTGTGTGCAAGGCCCTGGGTTCAATCCCCAGTACTGCAAAAACAAAAACAAAATCAGCCATGTGTAGGCAAAAATAAACCATACAAAACAGAATACTCTAAAGGACTGTGGCAATGATGCAGGAAGAAGCTAGCAGGGAGAAAGGAAGCTAAACCTCAATAAATTTTAAAGGTCATTATTATTCAACCCAAAATAAATGACCACTGCCAGTAACAACTGTTCAAAGAATTCAACTTTGTTTTGAATTCTCAACCCCATAAAACTGATCAGCTAGATAAATTTAACTTTTCACAGTTCATGAATATTTGTGTGGTCCCAGGTCCTTCAGTATTCCTAGTGCCACACTCAGCCCTCTGTCCTCATATTTTTCTTCAAAAAGGTATGTCTTTAATATGAATAAGGGTCTGAAGAATTTCCCTTAATCTCATGGTTGGCCTACATGAAGTATTCCTGTGGAGTACTTTATTCTTCCTTTGACAGACAAAGAATTCAAATGCTTATTAACTTGTCCAAAGTGAAGGAACAAAGAGATCTCCTGACTCCAAAGTCTACACACAGAATTATGGCCCAGAAACAGCAGGTTCTTAAGCCCTGTCCTTACCTCTCTAGGACCCCCTCTAAATGCCCACTTCACCTATGGACAGGTAGTGTTACTTGCAGTTACTGACATAAGCTGCATGATATTTATGGGAAATTACATATGAATACAAATGCCAGCAACATGAAATAGTAACAGGCTCACTTAACAACTTGTAAGTAAAGTAAAAGCAAGTGTCAAGTTTGAAACATCCTAATTATAAAACAATACTTAACAAATTTAAAAATTTAAAGCCATGCAAAATATGGTCTCTGATCACAATGCAATCAATATCACAAAGATAACTGGAAAATCTCCAAATATTTGGAAATTAATACTTTCAAAATAGTCCATGAGTCAAAGAGGATGCTTCAAGGAAAATTAGGAAATATTTTGTAACTGAATAAAAACAAAACTATAACATTAAAATGTGTGAGATGCAGCTATATAAATACTTAGAGGGAAGCTTATAGTAATAAAAATTCTTTTGGAACACAAAAATGATCCTGAATCAAAAACCAACGCTTCTACCTTGAGAAAATAGAAAAAGAGTGTGATGGTGCACACCTATAATCCCTAGTGACTTGGGAGGCTGAAGCAGGAGGATCTCAAGTTTAAGGCCAGTCTCAGAAATTTTATCAAGACACTGTCTCAAAATAAAAAAGGACTGGGAATGTAGCTCAGTGGTACAGTGTCCCTAGGTTAAATCTCCAGTACCACCAAAAACAAAAACAAAACAAAACAAAACAAATTTCAAAGCAAGTAAAAAGAGGAAAAAGAATCAACGTAATTGAAAATAGGGGGAAAAAAATCTATGAAACCCAAAGTTGGTTTTTTGGGATCATTATGTCATTTTTTATATTTTGAGAAAGGATCTTGATATGCTGTCCAGGTTGGTCTTCTGGACTCATGGATCCTTCTGCCTCAGCCTCCCAAGTGCTGAGGATCGAACCCAGGGCCCTGCACATGCTAGGCGAGCACTCTACCTTTAAAGAAATTTAGTAGTATTTCACCTTCAAAAACTGTAACACTTCTGTAAAAATGTTACAAACCTTTCCCAAATTATTGGCTTTTAAAAAATGATGCACAGAAATGTGTCATGTGGAATCAGGACAGAGAGCCAAAATGCATGCCTTTCTAGAACACAGAAAGCTGCCATTGCTTAGGGCTACTGTTCTAATTAATGTGTATAAGTCAATGACTTGATAGACTAGTAGTTGTATACAGCTAGATGTATAATTTATATCATTTTTTTATTTTGTTTTTTGGTACTGGGAGTTGAACCCAAAGGTGCTTTACCACTAAGCTACACCCCCAACCCTTTTTTTTACTTTGAAATAGGGTCTTCCTGAGTTACTGAGGGTATCCTTAAAATGCTGAGGCTGGCCTTAAACTTGGAACCCTCCCTGCCTCAGCCTCCTGAGTAACTGGAACTACAGGCATGGGCCACCATCCTCAGCCATATACCATGTTATAAGTTGAAGAAAGTCATCTTTTGCAATGGAGTTATGCTCTTTTTCTTGTTTAATTCCCCAACTTGTCACAAAGTAGGATGGATAGTAGCTTTAATTGTGATTGTGGCTCCCTAACAGAGACATCTGCTAACTAATGCTGATAGGGCTTCCTGATGAAATGCATAGCACAGAAGCCAGTTGGGTATGTATTTACCCATGTTTTTGCAAAATGTTCAAGTCATTTGGCTCAGAACGCCTGAGTGTATATAGTATGTCATTCTACTCCATTTCAGTTTCTTGGATGTTTTCATTAGCTGTCGGCACAGTTACTGCCCCGATCTTGAACTACAAGTACTGCAATCTTTTACATTCTCAGTATGAGTAGAGCTTTTTGATCTACAAAGCTAATGGAAATTTGCTTTGTGTGGCCGCTGTGTGTGAATACACCCAGAACCTAGTAAATATCCATGGTCATTTTAGTATTTGCATTTAGGAGGACCAAACAAATGAATACATATATTGAGGGTAAATGGAGCCAAGAATTCTTGCTTTTAGAGGAGACTGAAGAGGCAATTCCACAGGTGTCAGTATTGAGAACCCACAAGAAACTTGCTCATACCCTCTGGACCTCATTGGACCAGCTGACAGATTGCTATTACATACACCCAGCTTACAGTTTTGGACATAGGTTCACAATAAGAAGCTCAGCCTGTATGGTTTTTCTTTTCTTTTATTCCTGTGTGGTTTCTTGATGCCTGCAAATGAGTGTTTAGAAGCAAACCAGCAGGTGTTTCTTAAGCAAGGTCATCTACAAAATAGGGTGTGAATATGGTCCCACCCCCTAGAAGCTGGTGCTCAATTCTTTAGTGATATTGGCTAGAGGGTTCACACAGCGGTGGTACTTGCTGCAGAAATATCAAGCATCATTGGATCTGCTGGGTTATCAGGTGTCATTGGAAGAACAACTTGCCCTGCAGACTGGACTGACTGCCAAACATTCCCTTCTTGTTGTCCTTACTCAAAACAGGAAGCATCTATGGCTTACTTGGCAAAAGAGTCAAACAAAGTAACAATTGAAGTGTGTGTACATTAGCTCCCAAATCCAAAAGGGTCTACAGTTTTGTTTTATTTGGGTAGCAGAGATTGAACCCAGGGGTGCTTAACCACCGAGTCATATTCCTAACCCTTTTTAATATTTTATTTAGAGACAGGGTCTCACTGAGTTGCTTAGGGCTTTGCCAAGTTGCTGAGGCTGACTTTGAACTTGTGATCCTCCTACCTCAGCCTCCCAAGCTGCTGGGATTACAGGCATGCGCCAAGCACCACTGTTCTTTGGAGGCAATTATCCATACACACCCCATACCATTAGCTCTCCAGAAATGTTGCTGAGGTGATGAGGCCCCGAAATTTGATGGTGATTCTTTCCCACCCTCTGATTCATATGCTCATTAATAAGGCATCTAAAGTATTTGCTGTTTCCTGTTCATCAGATTCACTCAGCATATCAGTGAAGAGGGCCAGTGAGATTCATGGACTGTCAAGATGATCAAGGTCTCCTTGGACTCAGACAAGGATGTAAAGTTGTGCCATTGGTGTGACAAGTAAAAGCAAACTCTTTCAGTTTGTTCTTACAAACTGATATGGAGAGAATAAAAATGTTTGTTGCCAATAGCTACAGACCAGGTATCGGCAGCTGTAGAGCTGCTCCTGCTAACACATGCTCATAGGAAATGGCAGCTGTTATTGGAGTCATGCTCTGATTAGGTTTAAGATGACCCTTCATTTCTAAGATCAACTTGTTGCCTTCACAGGTCAAACTCGAGAGTTAAATGGGGGTGAGTGGTATCATCACCTCTACTTCATCCGAATCTTTGATGGTCTTTCCTCTCCACAATTCCCCTTAGTCATGCAGTGGTTTTGGTTTATTATCTTGGTAAGCAAAAGAAGTTCTGGGGGCTTCTGCTCGGTCCTTCCTGTCATAATGATGGTTATTACATGACTCAGAAAGACAACATGGGGAATCTCTCAGTGACAAAATATGTCAACTCTAATTGTAAGAACTGGAAGAAATAACCACAGTGTTCACAAATGTGCTGAGCATACTGTGAGTTGAACTTGAGCTAAAACTCAATCTATTACTTGAGCACTCTAAGCACCCCTATTGGCTAGGTAGGCCACAGCAGCATTTAGATTCAACAACTGAGAGTCAGTATTCAGGAATCCTCGTATTTCCTTCCCCATTGCAGTCATCCTTGTATATGACTACAGTTTCCCTTGGGGGATTGCTTGTAGGAAGATTCATAATTTATACTTGTGGTGATGCTTCAGAATCCTTCTTCAAGGGAAGGATTCAATAGGAGATTCCGGGTCTGGAAACATATTGCATATCTGAAACTTGAAGAGACAGGGTGATTCTCCGGTGTGGCAACTCATTATGATCTTGGCCTTGAGCTCTAGTCTTCCTATTATACAGACCTTGCTTGGCATCCTCATGAAGGGAGTATCTCTTGGCCCTCTCAGGGAATGAAACTGGAGAGAGATGGGGTAGTATGAAGGTCACACAAGATAAGTTGACTCTAACACTCCTATCTCCCTAATCCTCCTCCACACAACACTGGAGGAAGTTTTGGCATCTCAACTTCACAAAATATAGGCCATTGCTGAGTTTAAGTTTTAGTTAACCACTCAACTAGAGCACCATGTCCAGCTACATGCTAATACAGTAACTCCAGAATATATTCTTGCAAAATTATTTATTTATATTCAAAGATTTGGCCATGCTCAAGTTGTTTGTTACCTCTTAAAGTCCATTTCCATACATACTTCCCAGGCTTCTGCCTACACTGATTAGCAAAATCTTGTAATTCTTTTGGTGTGCGAGCTATTTCTTCTTCACACTTTGTGCTTGCTTTGCTGGAGCATGAGATCCTAGTGACAGGTTCACTAACAGAAAGGCAGGTCAGATGGCACTCAATTGTGTGAATCTTGAGAATGGAAACTGCTCAACATGTTATTACAATATTTTCATGCAAGACTAGTTTCCTCAGACACAGGGAAGGAAGCTATGTCTCACAGGCAAGGGAGGCCCAGAGTCACTAAGAAATTAGGTTTTTCAGTTCATCTGAGACTAGATATTCCCTTAGTCAGCTAAGCTGCTATAACAAAATACCAGTCTGGGAAGTTCAAGATCAAGGTGCCAGAAAATAGATTTCATTCTGAGGCCTCTTCTCTTAGATACTCGGCAGCTACCTTCTTGCTCTGGGTTCTCATGACCTGTTCTTTGTGAGCATGCAGAGTGAGCAAGCTCTGGTCTCTTCCTCTTCTAATAAGTACATAACTTACATTATGGTGCTGTGTCCTCATAACATCATAAACCAATCACCTCCCAAAGGCTCTGTCCCCAAATGCCATCACATGGGGGTGGTTAGGGATTCAACATAAATTTACCAGGAACATAAACATTCTGTCCATAACATCCCCATTCCTATTTTCTTTCCCAGTCAATGCCTTAACTTGAGAGAGGTGGAGAGGCTACGAATTCAATTGATTTTATAATTCCACAACCACACAAATATTATTTTTGATTTTCAGATAACTCAGCCCTACAAGATACAAGACTGTGTTAGGGTTGTGATAAAAGCTCACTTTTCCCATATGATTTTATTTTTTTAATTTTAACCTACAGCAACCACTTGACCCCTCAGCTGTGATAATCTTATTCATGATTATCTTATGCATCACCACGCATTTCCAGCATCCCATTTCCTGGGAGTAGGGAGCTCAGTCCTGCACCATTTTATTTCATCTTTGAAAATTTGTTTTCTGAACCACCCAGACAGGTTTCTAGTAAGTAAAGGGAAAACACACTAGTTGCCTATACAGATAGAATTTAATATATTTTTAAAGATAGTAATTGAAGTTGTTGACTAGGTTACCAAAAATTTAAAACAAGAACTCGTAGGGATCAGAGTAGTAGTAAATACAGAGAGTAACTTCCACCCCTAGAGCTGAGAGAACCATATTTGAACATATGAGAGGTGCAATTATTAAAACTTAAATGCTGCATGTACCAATATATAATAATGAATCCCATCATTATGTACAACTATACTGCACCAATTTAAAAATGTGGAAAAAAATTAAAAACTTAAATGCTTCCAGAAAGGGCCCCTTGGAGTTGAAACTCATACCTGTGGAAGACCAGCTGTCCAACTAGTATTGATGTCTCTCAGGGAATACAATGAGGCTGATTGTCCAAGTGTTGGTATACCACAAATTGGATTCAGCTGCTGTAGAAAAGAACTGCCTCTGCTGGGGTCAAGTGTTGATGGGCGACACTTATAGAAACTGCAAGCCAACAGGAAGCCCCCAGAAAGTTCCATGAACAAACAGGAAGGAGCAATCCTTTCTTTGCTTTTCAAGCTTCCAGTCTTCCTTTAGCGCCCCCTAATGTGACAGCTGGCAAGGCTGAAATAGGGTTTGTAGAGTCTTGAACACAATGTGAAAATAGAGGGATGGGTTTGAAGAAGAGACAGAAACAAGAGCTTACCACACCCCATACCATTAGGTCCCCAGAAATGTTGCTGAGGTGATGAGGCCCTGATGTCTGTTAGTTAAAAAAAAAAAAAAAAAAAAGCAAACAAGAATATGTTGCCTTGGAAAGAATGGAGGTAGAATGAAGGCTTTTAAAAGCCAGGTATTGGCCAGGCACCATGGCACATACCTGTAATCCCAGCAACTTGGGAGGCTGAGGCAGGAGGATCCCAAGTTAAATAAAAAAAAAAAAAAAAGGCATTGGCATTTCAATTTGATAAACCAGGAAACAGCAAAGCACTTAAAAGTTTTGTTAGGAAAACATTTTTGCAGTGATAGAAATGAGCCCTGAGCCTGAACCTCACATATGCTAAGAGCTCTACTACTTCACTACATCCACAGCACTTTCCCCTCTTTTTTCGATGTTACTTTTCTTTACATCTGCTCCCTTTGAATACTGGGACCACCGTGAGCTACTCCTAACAGAATGCAGCAGAAGTGAGGTTGTACGATTTTTCATACTAGGTTATATTACAACGGAATGCAAAAACAAGGTAATACAATTTTCACTTGGTACTTTCAGGCGCTCACCTTTGAAGCAAAGCAACCTTGCTTGAGAAAGCCTAGCCAGGACAGGGATGTAACAATACAACACTCACCTTGCTCACAAATAGAAGGGTGTCAAAATCTCTGTACTCAAATAATATTGTAATGCAAAAACTTTTTCTTTTTCTTTACTCTTTTTTTTTTTTTTTTGAGTGCTGGGAATAGAACCCAGAGCTTTGGGCATGCTAAGCACACACTGAGCTACACACCCTACCCATGGTCTCTGAGAAGCAGTAATTTTTTTTTAAAATCAAAATTCATGTCTAAAGAACTTCATAATAAAAAAAAATTAAAAATAATCCAGCTAGGGATGAAGGTACACACCTGTATGGCTACTAGAAGGCTGAGGCAGGAAGATTGCAAGTTCAAGGCCAGTCTTGGTCACTTTAAGGAGACCATCAGTAACTTGGCAAGACCCTGTCACACAACCACAAGAATGGGAAGTTAAATTCCACATATGTATGTCAAAAATACACTCTACTGTCATATATAAGGGGAAAAAAGGACCCTGTCTCAAAAAAATAAAAAAGGACTGGGCACATAACTCAGTACTAAAGTACCCCTATGTTCAATCTTCAGTATCAAATAAATGAATAAACTAATGTAATTAATTTTTAAAAAGGGTTGAGGATGTAGCTCAGTGGTAAAGCACTTGTCTAGGATGAGGCAGGCCCTGGATTCCATCCCCAATACTGTTAAAAAACAAATAACAACAAAAACAAAACAGAATTCAACCTGTAGTTGTATGAATCTTATAATTAGCCTCACTCTATTCTAGTTGTTAAATCTCATTTTAAAATTTTAACTTTGTTCATCATGTATTTTGCATTAATTTTGATTTTTATGTAACATTACTTAATGTGATTATTGTAGGACATTGACTAGTATTCATTGTGACTAGTATTTGATTTTATATTTTGGTCCCAGGAATTGAACCCAGGTATACTTAACCACTGAGCTACATCCCCAGCCCTTTTTTTGTATTTTATTTAGAGACAGGGCCTTGCTGAGTTGCTTAGGGCCTCTCTAAATTGCTGAGGCTGGCTTTGAACTCAGGATCCTCCTGCTTCTGTCTCCCAAATTGCTGGGATTACAGACATGTGCCACCTAGGACTAGTATTTTAAGCCCCCTAAAATTTGTCTACCCAGAACCTCAGAATGTGACTTTATTTGGAAATAAGGTTTTTGCAGATGTAACTAGTTAAGATGAGGTCACATTGGATTAAAGTTGGCCCTAAATCCAATGACTGCTTTTCTTATAAAAAGAGGGACATCTAGAGACTCAAGAACACACAAGAAAGAAGGCCATGTAAAGACAGAGGCAAAGATTTGAATTATGCTACCCCATGCCAAGGACTGCCAGGAAACACCAGAACCTGGGAAGAGGGAAAGGAGAATCCTTCCTGGAAGACAGCACTGCTCTGCAAACATCTTGATTTCAAACTTCCTGTCTCCAGAACTATAAGAGAATAAATTTCTGTTGTTTTAAACCACCCTACTGTGGTACTTTTGTAGGGCAGTCTGAGGAAATAGACATGATTCTTGAGGTTATTTTCATACTCCTTTAAATACTACATCTGAAGAGAGGGCCTCACTCCCCCTCACCCTAGTCTTGTTCCTGGCCAGCAGACCTCTTTGTGGGGATGAGAGGAAGTGGAGTAGGGGAGCAGGAATTCACGAAAACCCAACTCAGTGGAAATATTAACAAAGTCAGCTTGCTTTAGGAAAAGCAGATTTCTTAAACATAGTCACTTGCTTTTAATTTTTTTATTACAATTAAAATTACACAAAGGCAAATCAATTCGTTTCAATCAAAATAACTCATGTTTACATCATATTTATAAAACAAACTATACAATAAAATATATAAAAGTTTTCACATTTTGTACTTTAATCATCATCATCTTCTTCTTCATCACTGATCACATACTTCTTATGCTTTTTATTTGCTTTATCATCATCTTCTGCTTTTCTCTTTCCAGAAGGTTCACCCTCCTAAATAGATAAAATTTTTAAAAATCTAAAATTCAACAGAGAACATTTCTAGGAAAGGTTTATCAAAAGTAGCTCTGAGCTGAATGTCCCTCTGATAACTCAAAGTAACTTTTTGTTTGTTTTCCTGGTGCTAGGGATTGAACCTCGGGGCACTTTGCATTGAGCTATACCCCCAGCTCTTTTTAAAAAAATTTTCAAACAGCATCTCGAAGTTGCTAAAGCTGGCCTCAAACTTGCAATCCTCCTGCATCATCCTCCTAAACAGCTGTGATTGCAGGTGTGTGCTACCATACCCTGCTCAAAGTAACTTACAGTAAAAATATTCAACAGATGAATGAAACCACTAGTCAAGGTGATGGCCAGTTTTCAAATCTATTAGAGGCATTGTAAAATGACAACTCTGCAAGACTCATTACAAACTATAAAATTCAACTCATGCCCCTGCAGATATTAGGAGAGAGCTATGCAACCAAAGTTTATCTCTTACAGAGAAATCAGTGCACAACAGAGTCTGTCCTGGGAAGGATCAGGACTCTCCCAAGGAAGTTTTGCCTGTACGACCATTTCTTGTCCTAAAATATATTCACCCTTATCAGGTAATCGGTCAAAATTTTTTCTCCGCTTCTTCAGCATTTAGCTTTTTTTTTTTTTCCTTATCTAAAACTCATTATTTTAAACACTCTTAATTTTTAAAATAATAATTTCTTGGTTTGGATATATTAAAAATATAAAGGTCTTTAAGAAAATATTTGAAGATGTCAAAATGCCTTCTACTGTCAAGTATAACTAAAAAGAACAATTAAAATTTCTTGAAGAAATTAAATGTCTTCTATATGCACATTTCCTCTGTTTAAAATAATTCTGTACAATGTCCTAACAGAAAGAATTCAGAGAATTGTTTATAAAACAATTTTTACAAATAGAATTTGAACATATCATCATTTAAATATCAAATACTCATTACAGGAGTTGATACTAACATGACACTATCCTCCTCGTCAAAAATTAAATGGATCAACAAATGGTTTGAAGGTTAAGGTTGGGGAAGGCCTGACATTTTGCTGTGACCACAGAGTGCTTCTACATGTACGATGTAATCTGGTGCACCCACTTTTTTTCTGATGGTCCCAGCGGCTGGCCCTCTGAGGGACGAGATAGCATCTCACACTTGTTTCCTGCCTTGTTAACACAAATGCATTCCCACAGACCTAGGGTACCACAGGTGGGCTCAAAAAGAAAGTTATGAGCCTACAGTAAGGAGTCTACTTTCATCCCAGTGTGCAATAGTACAGTGACCCCAACAGCAATTGTCTTCCATTGTTGCCCATGCCCAGAACATGAACTGGAATAATATGAAGAGGCAGTAGCAGAGGTTGGGAGGTCCAGGCAGAAGTAAAGTCTTTGTATTTAGAGAAGGGAAGAAAGAAGACCAAGAGAATATTTGGGTGGTGAAGGTAGAGGTCCATTTGCATGAGGCATTTTTGAGTTAGGCATTTTGCAACTGCCTAGCCCAGAAGGTCTTTTTTTAAGCAAAGAAAAATCTCATTTCTGAGAATACTAGGAATAAACCGAGTTCCATAGTACTTCTCAATTTTCATTAACAGTTTCTGCTTGCCAGGCCACATATAGCATCTGCTTAGATGAGGACTTCCATTTGCCAACAGTTCAACACACTGCAAATGTATCATTAAGATGTCACCTCATCTAATTTAAAACCAATATGGTGCAGATTAACAAATTTTTTACTAGTTATTATTCACAATATGGCACTGAATTTCAGTGAATTGTGTATATATCTGTGCTCCTGGTCTCTGAGCTCCTCATTCCCAGGAGGTGGCTCCTGAGTACAAGCCAACTCTTATTATTGAGTAAATGTGAGCTTACCTCATCACTGGTGAGTTTCTTGGCTTTGAGTAATCTTTGAGCCTTATCTTCTTCTGATCCCTCATCACTGTCTGAGGAATAGATTCTGGCTCTTTCCTCTGAAAGCAAAGAAATTAGACTGAGTGACTTTCAATGATAGTGATCTATTCAATCTCAGTTTTTCCTTCTTATCAGAATTGTACATTTTCCCCAGAGGAACTAAATAATTTTGAATTGCTGATTTAAAGATAAAGCTCTAAATATATTGAAATGAAATAGACTTACTCTCTCCAAATATAATCCTTCCCTTCTTCCAACTCCTTGCCTAGCTAAGGACTGCCCAAAACTGAGTGTTACTTGTCTGTTGTGTTTTAATCTCTGAGGAACTGAATATTAAACATCTCTATCCCTAAATATATCTTTAACGTTTAGTTATTTTTATTTTTGTGTGGCGTAATTTTAAAATTAATTTTTCCTGTGGAAAATTAGCAATGGCAAAAATGGAAAGATCTCTGTACTATTGTCCCAAGATAAATAATAGGTAGGTAAGGCTTAGCAGGTCACTAGACAAAAGTAGTCACTGAAAAATGAGAAAAAGTTTTGTAGGACAGCCAGAAAAAGGAAAATTTGGGTGTTTTTATAATTTTTTTACTCAACAGGAAAAACCACCTGGGGCACACTGTGATTTCCAAGGTGTGTCAAAGGGAATCGAGAGAGCATTAGAACTTCATTTTATGGACAAGATACTTAATATCAAAGAAGGGCAGTCAAATGCTCAAGGCTGATGAGGTGAAACAACAAATGGTAGCTTTAGGTAACATTTATCATTCAACCCTCAAAACACCCTTATGTTGCAAACACTATTAGTAACAGGTTGGTTTTTTTCCAAAAGAGACCACAGATGTTAAGGGAAGTAATAGGATCTTCTAAAAGTGATTTTATGACTTTTGCTAGTAAATGGATGGATCTGGAGACTATTATGTTAAGTGAAATAAGCCAATCTCAAAAAACCAAAGATTGAATGTTCTCTTTGATTTGTGGATGCTAACGCACAACAAGAAGTGTGGGGAGTAGAAGTTCAGTGGAGTATAGAAATGGAAATGAAAGGAAGGGAGGAAGGATGGGAATAGAAAAGACAGTAGAATGAATCTGACATAACTTCTCTGTGTTCATATATGAATACATGACCAGTGAAACTCCACATCATGTACAACCACAAGAATGGGAAGTTATAATCCATGTATGTAAAATATGTCAAATTACATTCTACTGTCATGTATATCTAAAAATAATAAATAAAAAAATTTTTTTAAAAGGTGGTTGGTTGGTAGGTGGTCACAGGTGTAATTCGGCCCCCTGTGGGGAAAAGGAGGCAGGTTTGAGCATGGCAGAAGGGGACACCTTGGTATCAGTGGATTACACAATTTTGGGGAAGGTGCAAGGGGTGTTTTTCCACAAGTACACTCAGAGTGAGGGTAACTCAGAGTTAGGATTGGTAGGCTGGGTCCAGAACACTGACCAGGGCACAGTACAAGGAAAATTGCAAGGTCCCATCTCCAAGGTGCGTTACATGCAGGAATGGCTTGAGACAAAAGGAAGTCCCAAATCACAAATTGACAGAGCAAATTTCAGCAATGAGAAAGTCATCTTGAAGCTGGATTACTCAGAGTTCCAAATTGTGAAATAATGACCTGAATTTAAATTTTCCAAGAAAAAGTCAGTTTTGGTTTTTATTATTAATATAGAACTATTCTGTGTTCAATATTAGAATTAGTTATTTTTGTATCAAATATTTGTAATTGTATGTTCCATGTGTGATGGAACACAGCTTTACACTTTAGAACCATGTTAAAAAAAAAAGGTGGTTGAATTGAAAGCAGAGTAAGCAGGGTCAGGAGTTCAGCCCAAGCCTTGAGTTTGCTTTACAGCATCTCATCTTTCCACCAGTTGTGGGGGAATCTCTGGGTAAGAACCAAGAAGGTTTGTTGTTATTATTATTTTATTTTTTTACTATGAGGTCTTTCATTATTTACTAAATGAGGTCCATGTCTTAAAAAACTCATCTCAAATAAATTAACATGATCAGATTAAATTATTTATAGAATCTATATGACAATGACACACAGGCACAATGATTTCCTTTTCTAAGAATGAAAATAATTATGCTTAGGTTACATAGCAACAAGTCATTGTATGATAATAAAGACACACTATACAGGAAGTTTCATGAGATCAATTCTCATTATATTCCTCATGTAAACCCAGTGAAACAATACCCCTATGGGATTTATTCCACTGACCATAATAAGTAAGTAATTCTCTTCCAGGTATTTCTTCTTCCTTGAAAAATATAATTTGATTTTCAATGAAATGTTAGACAAGTGAAGAAAGACTAAGTTAGGAATCACCATCCTTGAAAAGTACTTAATTGCAAATACTTTCTGTATCCTATTGAGTCTGTGGTAAGACTGATCACATTATGATAGTTAGGAAGCTTAATGAGGATGATTCACTGAAAAGAGACCCTATTATATCAGTGCTTTGTCATATTTGCCATCTCTCATTTCTCTTTGCACCTCTATATTCCTGTATTATTGTTCTTCTCTCACAGAAATATAGACACCTCTATCAAAAATGTTATTCACATTCAGTCTGTTATATGAATTTACACTAGAATTATTTTCTAAAACACATATTATGTTGTCGTTAATACTGTTCATTATTCCCACTGCCTGAAGACCAATGCCTAAATATGACACCCTACAAACCCCACTGAAATGTATCTCTTTCTGAACATAGCATGCTGTTCCATGTCTATGTCTTTAGTTTTAAGTCTTTATTCTCATTCTACTTTCCCAAGAAGATTTTAGAAGTCAGATGGCCTTGGTTTAAGAATTGGCCAATTACCAATTATGTGTCTTTCGTCAAGTTACTCAACCTCTCGAAGTTTGTTTCCTCAATAACAAGAACAATAAAAGGAAATAGGTCAGGCTAGGGATGTGGCTCAGTGGTAGAGCACTTGCCTAGCATACACACAGCCCTTAGTTCCACTCCCAGCATCACACAGGCATACACACACAAACACACACACACAGGCCCACAGTATTTAGAGATCAAATAGGACAGCAAATATTGAGTTTGCCTGGGGTTCAGTATGTACTGAAAAACATTACCCATTATGAATTATTAACACTTGTCAAGGAATCTACAAAGGACAGCTCAGAAAAAAGTAAAAGAGGAAGAATGAAAGAAAACATCAAGCATTTTTTCATTCCCAATTTTTTGTCATGATTCTCTTGATTCCCAGTTAGCAATAAAACAAAGATAAGAAAAGTTCTAACATAACTGGCAAATCTTCAATCTAGAAAGCAGAAGTTCAAGGGATAAAACTGAAAATGGGAGCAACATCAGTTTCTATCTACCCTTTCAGGCTCACCTGAAAGAATTCTGTAATGATGAGACCAGAAACTTTAAAAACAACCACTTGTTAACAATGGTTCTTTAAAAATAAAATGTCCAGGAGCCAAAGGTATTACTCAGTAGTAGACTACGTGCTGGGTTTAATCTCTAGCACCAGAAGAAAAAAATGTCCAGTGACATGGCATTCAGATCATGTACAATTCAAACAATTGGAACCTTGACATTAAATTCTGCCCTAGACTCACCTCGAATGCCCCCTTTGTATCGGTTTTTAATGGCAGCCAAACTGATGGACTCCTCGCCTTCCTCTTCCTCATCATATCGATCAGGTTCTAGGTAACTAGCACTCAGTCCCCGCTGGTGCTGTTTCTCTCTCATTCGACGCTGCTGAGACTCCCTACGAATGGAAGCCCTCAAACGTTCTTCTTCTTTCTGTGAAGAAACAAATAAACCATTTGCTATGGTGTGAAGGTATCCCCCAGGTTGCATGTGCTAATCGCCAAAGTCATATGTTAAAGTTCTTTGAGAGGTAAGATATGGGGGAAGTGACTGGGTCAGGAAGCTGTGCCATCAAGAAAGGATTAATTTATGCATTAACAGATTAATGGATGGTCATGGGAGCGACTTTGTTATAAAAAACAGCTGCTCCTTGCTCTGTCTCACCAACTGGTGCCCTTCACTGTGTTATAATGCAACAAGAAAGCCCTCATGAAATGCTGGTGCCATGCTCTTGGACTTTCTAGCCACAAAGACTGAGCTAAATATCTATTTTTAAAAATTACCCAGTCTATTGTATTCATTTATAACAACAAAAACAAACTAAGACACCATTCAGCTTTTAAAAACAAACTATTTTCAGGCCCACTTGAACCCACTTTTACTATAAAGAACCTGTAAATGCCTAGCAGGATAATGTGTCTTCAGATTACAGTACTCCACTCACCTCTGTTACCACACACACAAAGGTAAGAGACAGAAGGGATCCCTCATACTAACCAGTTCACTGAGAACTGGCACAGGAGTAGTCTCAGGAACTACACTGTCCTCCCTGTTGTAATTCACAGTTCAAGGAGAAGCAACCAGCCTAAGAAACCCCTTCCATGCCTGGGACACCTAAATTGACTTCCTAGGGCAGTGGAGGTTGTCTCTGTCATCCTTGAGCTGCAGATACCTGACTCGCCCGGGCTCCACCAAAGTCCCAAGGTTCCCAGATATTTCTGTCACAATCCTCAATCCAGAGAGCTTTCCACAAATCCTGACAACAGAGTGAGGAAGTCCCAGTGGTGAGAGGGTTCCCAAGCCACAAGGCAGAGCACCTTCATTTCCTCAGCTGCCTGGCATTCCACATCTTGAAGTTTACACAGAAAATGAGGATGAAAGGAAGTCTGGGGATATTCTGGCATTTCTTTGAAGACCTTCCTCATTCAATTGCTGCATATTATCATATATAACTCCAATTCTGTTATTAGAAATTCTATGCAATAGAATAGTGTTTAACCCTTTTTGTTCCATTGTCCCAGATGTGGGACACCTATAAAAATTTAAATACAGTGAATAATATTACTATTATATTGTAATAATATTAACATAATAATTATAAGCTCTATAATATAATATATAAGCTCTAGATTATGATTCCCAAACTATTTTAATGTGTTGATTTAAATGAAATATTCACAGAATTGAAAATTTGGGACTTATGGGTTAAGTAGTATGTGGCTGTACTGAGGTTAGAGTAAAAGTCACTGACAGTGGTATAAAGACTAAGAACAAACTAGTTGACTCCTTGTCTACATTTCCACGGGAGTTGAAGATGTGGGAATTCTCAGAGTGGTTCACAGCACTCTTCAAAATGCTAAGAATGAAATCCTTAGGTTCCTCCAGCTCCACTTGTCTAAATAGAAAAGGTGGGGAAATGGAGCAAGAAGCCAGACTTCAAAGCTAATGCTCCTTATGCACCTTTAGGCCAGGCACTGCCCGGGTCTGGGTTAGTTCATCTGCCTCCAGGAATAGGCTGGAGGGAAAAGCAGGAACAAGGGCCAAACCTTTCTTAAAGCTTACCAATGAGATTATAAGAAAGGTCCTGAGGCAACTGGATGCCTAGGCCTCAGGGTATTCCATTTCACTTAGGAATGTAATCAATCACGTGAGGCAAGCAGGACAGCTTGAGGCAAGCAGAACAGCGATCAAGATTCAGTGAAGATCAGAGAAGATGGAGAGGAGACCATGAGAATGGACTATTGCATTCAGCTTCTCAAAGCAAGCACTGCACCAGAAAACCTTGGTGTCAATACAAGCATATGCTCTGTCACTCAGTAAAAATGCACCAGAATTGAATCTTTGAAGATTATTAACAGTTGTGTCAAATCTGAAAATGTATCAGTAAAATGTTATTAAGTAACCTTATTTTAAAAAGAAAAAACTGGACTAGGGATGTAGCTCAGTGGAGGAATACTTACCTAGCAGAGCAGAGTGCCCTGGCTTCAATTCCTAGCACCAAGAAACAAAAAAAGAAACAAATACACAACCTTTTCTTACTCTGCTAGATTCTACTTTTGGCACTCTCCCATTCAAACTCCTGGTCTATATTTCATACTAAGTCTCCAGCACTTGCACTGATTCCCCCTGCCCCCCCACTGATTTTTTGACATGGATTCTAAACCAAACATAGATGATTTAATGATCTTTAAAACTATAAATGAAAGTTCACTAGTTTGTGGCTGAACTCTCAGGCGCTGTGGGAAAAAATCTAGTCTCCTGTGTCTATTTTACCACTACTGTCACATCACTCACTGTTAACAATGCTTATGAAATTAATCAAACTCCCTATTCATGTTGGTTGGAAGGGGAAAGGGTGGGCCAATAAGATGATGGACAGACATTTTGGGAAGTATTGTTCTTAGAATACCAAAAACTTCCACGGAAAAGACTAGCAAATATACCTTAATCATTTCTGTGCGTTGGCATTCAGGATCACGACCAGCCATTGGTAAGATTCTAATCTTCTGTGTCTTTGAACATCTATCTGCAAGTGACAGTGTCATCTTTCTATGTGTGGCACTGTCCGTAGAGTGAGGTCTATCAGAAAATAACAAAAATATCTCATTATTTATTAAATATATTTGCGAGCCAGTAATACCCATATCACAAAAACAAGAAGTCAATGATAATTTCCTATGCATCAGAAAAATAAGCAGGGACACCAAACAAAATATATTATGTTAGGAACTGTGAACTTTATTTATTATATAGTTTAAGAAGACATTT